CAATACCCTAATCCCCATTATTTGTTACAGTTTTGCTTTGAGGATAAATGTGCTATAAACACAGCAAATTAATGATTACTAACAAAATAGATTAAATACTAGGTAAAGAAGTAAAGTAGCTCAAAAAGGAGAATACAAATTTCTATATTTTCATTGCACAATACCTTCGACTGCCCTAAATAATAATAAAAATAGAAAAGGGAAACGTACTCTTCTTGACTAGTGCGGCAGTCCGACTTCGTTGGTTGGTTGGGCAACTGGAAATCTCTTACTGTTCGTACTCTTCTCAACTGGGAAACGTCGTTCGTGGTCTTCTCAGCTNTGGTTGGTGGGGCAACTGGAAATCTCTTACTGTTCGTACGCTTCTCAACTGGGAAACGGCGTTCGGGGTCTTCTCAGCTAGGGGAGTAGTGTTGGAGGCCAGAGATCCACCAGTGAATGGGTTGAGTGGCTGGAATGTTGAAGCTGGAGTGGGAATCGATTTCTCGAGAGTTGGGGGATAATTGGGGATTAGGTTAAGAGTCGTGAGTCATTTTTCATAATTAACAATGGGTCGGGTTTTTTTTTTGGGCCAAGTCTTTTAACGCTGTAAGATGCAACGTCGGATTTTTTGAAAAAGTGTAACAACTACTATGAAGCAAAATTGTAAGAGAAACAAAATCCTATGTTAAATTAAAAGTAAAATTTTGTGATTCATTTAATTGTATATTTTATTTAATGACACTTAGCCCCCGTTATTTGATATTATAATTTTTTGAATAAATATTTTTGGATTGTGCTATATGTACACGATATTTTACACAATATTTTACACCTCCCTCACATGGAGGTGGCACACACACAATAAAATATTTGTGGACCCCTTCCATGTGAGGGAATGTAAAAGATTGTGTACACCACAAGGCACAAGATATACACATAGCATTATTCAATATTTTTTGAAAAATGTGTGGTTAAAAATGAATGAATTTATTTATTTATTTATGTGTAATCTTATTTTATTGGACAACGTTTGATTAAAAAGAAGAGAGACAAAAATGTTTTATAAATTTAACGAGCCGGGGGACAATGTCATTTAAATTGATAATGTAACACCAATCATACCAAAAGTGTGTTTGAGATACATTTTTTTGAAAGAATGTATTATTGAATAGTAAATTGATGGAAAATGTGTGGATAAAATTAAGAAAAAGTTATTGATGTGATGAAAAATATTATTTTATTGAAAAATATATGATTGAAAATGAGTAGAAAAATGAGAATGAAAAAAATAATGTATACCAAACAGGACCCAAATAACATTATAAACGTGCATGAGATGGCGGCTAAATATTTTGTATATCCCACTGACCCCACCCACATCACATGCAGATGGTGACTGATTGACACCCTGGCAACTCTACGAGCATTCTAGATAGACGTTCTATGAAAGAGATACGTTATTTATTTTAAAATTTTAAATTTTAAAATAAAATTTGAAGAAATTCTTTTATCTTGATATTTTAGAATGAGAATGAGTTCGACTTTTTACATTGAAAAGTCAAATTTACTGCTTTTCTTATTTGATAAAATTATAAATTTTAATATTTCACAATTTTAATTATTAATATTATACTTAACTCCTTATTTGATGGAGATTAAAATTAATTTTTTAATAAATTTTGATAGAA